GCAACGGGAGGGTGGGGGGGGGGGGGGAGTGGGTGGAGGCGGCAGACATGGAGGGGAAGGTGCGCTGCTTCCGGCCCTGCACAAGACTGCTAACTTCCAGCTCACATGGGCTGGGAGCCAGCAGCCCTTTGGGGCTTGAGCAGCCCTCTGCCCGCTGCAGGGTGGGAGGCTGCTCCTGGGTAATGGTTAACTATTACCCAGTAAAAAGTCTCCTGTTAAGGGTGATGCTAACTGGATAACCGACTAACTGGTTACCTGTTCACTTCCCTCCCCAGAGGTCCAGCAGCATACCAAACCAGTGCTGAGTCAGCCACACCAGAGCTATAAGAATCACATCCACAGAGCCTTGCAAATCTGTGGATATACACAGATATCCACATCTACCGATGCGGATATCTGCAGTTCATTTTTGCAGATATGGATGCAGATACAAATTTTGTACCTACAAACCTGAAAATTTGTGGATATGCACAGGTATCTGCAGATGTCAATGTGAATATCTGCGCCTCATTTTTGCAGACATAGATGTGGGTGGAGACAAATTTTGTATCTGCACAAGGCTCTACACACAATCACTATGTCCTGTTTGATTTTCATGAGGACTCTGGCACTAGTGGGAAGACATACATGAGCTAAAATGTATCTAACAGGGAGACTCTGTCAATCCCCCAAACCATACGAAAAAAGTGGTACTTCCAGTTCTGTCTGGATGTGAATAAGTCCCCATGGGGAATCTCCCACCTTTGGAACATGATCATGATGGAGGGATCACATTCCTGGCTCTAGGGAGGGATGCAGCTACAAGATGAATGGCATGGTGTATACAGAAATTCCACAGGTGGAAGTTTCTTGACAATGGGCTGATGAACAAGCTCTCTGTTTCTTGTTGATATAGAACATTGTAGTATGTTGTTCATCAGGACCTGAAGCACTTTGCCCTCAAATGTGGCAGGAAAGCCTAGCAGGCTAAGCCCTCTGAGCTCCCTGACATTTATGAGACAATTATGACTCAACCAATGATCTTGCAAGTTGAAATAACATAGGTGGGCTCCCCAGCTTAAATGTAAGGCATCAGAGACCTTACCAGCAGGCAGGGAGCTACAAGGAGGTCGACCTTCAACACCAATATAGGATTCAACTACTGTGCAAGTGACAACAATATGTGATCTGGTACATTGATTACGCTATGTTGTGTCTGTTGGGGACACCAGCCACACCTGTAAAGGCCTCAGATGGAGTCATGCGTGCTGGACCATGTAAGTAGAAGCTGCCACATGGTCCAACTTCTGAAACGAATGAGTGGTGGTGAGAGGATGGGCTCTCATGAAACATTTCGGATCAGGTCTGTCCTGCTTGGAACCGGGTCTTGGGGAGGAAGGCTCTGGCCTGAGTGGAGTCAAGATTGCCACAACAAACTCTATTCATTATAATGGCATTAGAGTCTATTGTTCAAGTGCTTGTTAGTGTGAATTCTAATCAGGTGTGTACACATGCACTGTAGACAGATTTTAACATTACAGCTAGCCATAAGATCAGCATGAACACTCCCTGAAGTGGCACCCTTGTGGCACTGAATATAGACCCCAGCCAACCTGTCCCCTCTTCAGTTCTGTCTTACCACTGTTGATGGTTAGCTAGAATTTCACTGCTCTCATCTTCAACCAGTGAGTTATCAGCTAGCTTTTATATATAGTTGTATATAGTTATTAGTTTTAGTTCAGATTTAAGCAGTTAGTATAGTTGTTTAGTGTTAGAAGTGCTCTTTAGGAGGGCTTCTCCCTTCCCTTGAGTCACTCACACTGGGACATGCCTAGGTCGCCGGGCTTCAAAACTATGAAACTTGCACAAGGTGCATGCCTAGAAGCAATCCCCACATTTTGTGTCTGAAATGTTTAAGCAAAAGCCATCAGAGGGACTAGTGCTCAATTTGTAAGACCTTCAGATCTAAAACCCTGAAGGATAGAGCTCAACAGCTGAAGATGTTACTGGTGAAAGCTGTTCTTCAGCCTCCAAAGCAAGAGTCTTTAGACCCAGCACCAAGTTCATTGTCCTTGGTGAAGAGTACACCAGTGCCATCAGTGTGTCCAGCACCAGGTAAGGACATGTCTTCCTGGCACCATGTGACCACACTGAGAGATCCTCTGTTGGCATGCAGACACCGCTCTCAATCCCTAGTGCCCCAGAAAAAAAAAAAAAAAAAAGCACGACAGGGGGTTTACTCCCACTTCTAAAAACAGGGAGTCCCAAGTAGGACCAAACCTCAGTGACCGCACCTCTGCGGTCAACTGTCAACACAAAGCAATAGAGTCCACAAGCCCATTATGGCCACTCCCAACCAGAAACCTGCAACTCCCTTTGACACTGGAGGCTTTCTGTGTTGTACAGGATCTCATGCACACCATTCTTCCCACTGAGATGGGACATATCGCCCAGAAGAACAACCATCTACCCCCATCCCATGAGTAGCCGGCAATGATGATGCAATTACCAACACCGAGTCTTGGTGATATGTCACTCTCCCAAGATAGGCTGTCCCAAAGCCTCAGTCGAGACCTTTTGGTGCCCTGGAATACAGCTTCTCCTCGGGGTCAGATTCTGAGTCTTGGAGGCATGACTGCAGCTCCCAGATGAGACCATGGCTGGTGCAATAGCAGAAGTATCAGTTAAATCCTGATTAATCAGTGAACCAGTTCCACATTAGGTTAACCTAACGTTTAACTGGTTAACCAACTAAGCAGGATCCCTGGCAGGGGACCTCAACTAAAGCAGCCCTCCACTGGTAGCAGCCTGGGGGAGGGGGAGACGGGCGAGGGAAGACCAGTTAACCATTACCCCAGTAAGCATCACACTTAGCATCTCAGGGCGATGCTTACAAGTAACCCTTCTTTTCTATCCCCTCCCTCCCCATTGTAACTTTAACCACGAACACTTCAGTCGCGCGCCACAACGCCTTCCAGTCAAAAACCGCAAGCCACTTTGATAAACAAGCAGCAGGTCTATTAGCACAAGTTCCTTCAATTCAGACATTTCATAGCAGCCCCAGAGAAGGGCCCGCAATCCGCACAGGCACGGAGAGGGCAAGGGCCGTGCCCCTGCAGCGCCCACTGAGTGAACTATGGCAACGCCTGGAGAGCAGACCGCGGGAGCCCCGCGGAGAGGAAGGGGCTGCAGTTGACCCTCCTGAGACAATCCCACCGCGCTGCCAGGGCACAGGTGGAACGTCTTTAGCTGCTCCCGCTACAGAAAGGGGGCTACAGCGCCCAGTGCCTTCCCCTTTAAGGGCCCCACTACCTCCTACACTTAGTCCTTCCGTGTCGTTAATCCGCTGCAACCACCACACGCCCCGCAGCCCACTCAGCTGCCCCGCGTCCCTCCCCGCCGTAGCAAGGAAACTCACCCGGCTCGCACAGGTTTCCCCTCAGGCAGCCACTGACTCCCTCCCGAGGTGAGGTAAGGTTCGCTTTCTCAGCCTGCAGCTAGCCTCGAAACCGCTCCCCCGGCCCCCTCCAATCAGAGGCTTTCTCCGGACGGGAGGCGAGGAAGGAAGAGGCAGAGACGTTACGGAATCCCGTGTCGCGCATGGACAGCCGCCGAAAGTTCCGTTCAAAAGTAAAGCTGAGGCGAGGGGTTGGTTTGAGCCGTTGCTACTTTCAAACGTACCCCGCCTCAGGCAAAGGTCGGCGGCCGTTAAAGGCTCTTTAGCTTTAGTTGCGCTGGCCAGTCGCAGCTCTCCCGCCCTGGGAAGGGCCTTCTTCCCGCCCATCCCACACATTTACAGTAAAAAATTAGGCGGGTGGAAAAAATCCAGCCACGGAGCAGGATATGAAGCCAAGTCTCTATGTGGACAGCATTAGACTGGTGGAAGACATTTTCTATGGATTTAGCAATTGTTTCTAGGGGAGATGGATTATCTGAGCCAATGGGAGGATCCCTCCTGTCCTGTAGGTGTTGTCTAGACTGAAGCCCCACAGTGGCACAGTTGTCCTGGCAGCTGCTATAGTACTTTAAATGTAGATATACCCGACTCTGGTGGTGTCTAATAGCCACTGTGGCTATTTGGCTGGTTGAGTGTGGCTAGTTTGCTATAGCAATAGCCACTGTAGTGGCTACTGCTTCAGAACTCGTTAAATACCAGGGCCCTACTTAAAGTTGGTGTTCACAGCTTACATTTCTGGTCTTGTTTGGGGGTGAGATCCTGGCTCTGTTGAGGTCAATGGTAAAGCTGCTCTTCACTCCAGTGGGGCCAGGTGAAAAACAGGGATTGGGGTGAATAGTAATAGACTCCTATATAAGAAAAAGTCCCAATTATTGGAATTATTTGTATAAAATTGGGAAATCTGATCATCCTACCTCAGTGATAGGAAATGACCATCAGACACAGATTCCGTAGCCACTGTGAGGGCTTGGAGATGTTTGGACAAATTGCCTTGTCAGTGCAAAAATAATTAGGCAATTCTCCCACCGTTAGTAAGGTTGCCAGGTGTCCGGTTTTGAACTGGACAGTCCAGTATTTGAGCTTTCTGTTCAGGAAACAAATTGAGAAAATATAAATGTCCGGTATTTGCTAAATAAGATGGAATGTAGATTGTGATGTAATGTCAAGTGTGTTCGGTATTTTTGTTGAAACCATCTGGCAACCCTGTTAGTCTCACATTAGTACTGCTACATCAGTAGTAGTAACAATGGAAGTTGTACTAGCTGTCCAGGAAAATAAGATGTCAATAAAAATATCTACATCCATTCCATCCTAATGCACCTTTCAGCTTCATTGATAGCACTGTTGGAGCTACACCAGGGTTAGCTCAATAACAAAGTGATTTACTTAACATTCTTGGTATAAATGTACTCAGTCAGACAAAGTTATACAGGAAGACTCCTCAAGACAGAAAGAGCTTCAGGGAAGAAGACTATTGTATGAACAGTGGTGACATTGTTTGAAAAACTAAGAGGGGCTACTGTTAGACTATGGAGTAATAGGGCATGGAGGGACACATTTGTATATGTTAAAAAGTTTTTAAGTAAATGTGTTACACACAGTTACACATTTACACATTGGGGGAAAGGGCAGCCGTGTGCATGAGTAGCTGGCTTTTGCATCCTTAATTATTTGCCAGCAAGGCTGAATCAAATAGATAGAGGGTTTTTAAAAATAATGCCAATTTTGAACAGAATCCTGATATAATTTAAGTTGAACCGGTGGGCAATAATTTTGGTGAGGGGGTATGGTGGGGGCCATCACAGAAGTCTGCTTGGGATTGTTCCCCAATGTGCTGATCATGCCAGTGATGTCTATCTGCAGGGGCGGATATAGGGTAGGGCGAACGGGGCGGCCGCCCCAGGCCCTGTGCTTCAGAAAGCCCCGCGCATGCGTCGTGGCGCCGCGGCAAAGGGGGGGCCCCGCGGAATTATGCTGCCCGGGGGCCCGCAAAACGGTCATCTGCCCCTGCCTATCTGTTTGCTCTCTGGGTCTTCCCACCATCCGGTCCTGCTGGGACAGATCTTCTAGTCTCCCCGAGACAAGGTGCAGAAACGGTCCTGCTGGGACAGATCTTCTAGTCTCCCCCAGACAAGGTGCAGAAATGGGATTACCATCCCCTGCAAAGCAGTGCAGACACTGAACAACTTCAGCTCTGAGAGGATGCAATTCTAGGGCTCAGCACCCAAGAAACCAACCACCAAATGGAACCAAAAAACCCAAAATAAATCCGTCTTACTCTTTGTAAAAGTTTTCTACAGGGAAAACTTATAGGTTAGCTCCCTTTATCAATGAAAGAGAGCTATGCACAGTGATTGCTCCCCTGAGGTAACAATTATTTATATTGCACGGGAAAGTAAGCAAAAGGGCTGTGTCTAGACTGGCCAGTTTTTCCGGAATATCAGCCGCTTTTCCAGAAAAACTTGCCAGCTGTCTACACTGGCCACTTGAATTT